GATGGTCGTTATCTATCTGCATCAGCCCTTGCAAAAAATTTTATGGAAAAGATTGAAGGTTGTGTTGTTATCTTTGAACGAAACAACTCCAGTATAAAAACAAATATATCTAAAGATCCAACCTTTTATATGACTGTCAAAATGGTGGTTCATTTTTTTATAACATCAATTTATTTTCAGTTTCATAAATAATTAAACAATTCATTTTCAAAGAAAGAAACACCTGCAGAATTCTCAGTAAAAATTTATCTCGCTTTAACACTCCGATGTGGAAGATACTTCATCTCAAGTAGAAATCAAACATTTTGCTGGAAAAAAGATGACAATGACCATTCAATAGACGAGTCACTTTCTTCAGATGACAATGACCCTTCGAAAAACAAGTCACTTTCTTCAAAACTCCAAGAAATTAAAAACAAACATCCAATATTATTTGAAATGGTGTTTTATTATTTAAAAAAAAAATTTCAGAAAGTATTACAAAAATTTACTTATAATGATCTTTGTTTGAAAAAATATTTTGGTCCCGAATTGAATGATTTGTTGCAAAAATTAAAAACCGAACTTAAAAATTATAGCCGTTGTCCTTCGCAACCGGAGAATGAAGAGGAGGATTTTGTTGTGCAATCCACGAAGAGTAAGTAGTCTTAACAATGATTTATCAGTCACGTATTTATCTGTACATGTGAATATTAATAAACATAATGATTGAAATTTCAGAACTTAAAAGCTGGCATGTAAGTTCGCGCTTCATAACTTGGATAGAGAAATGTGCAAATATGAAAGCCATTTGGCTAGATAGACTGGATGAAGCTACACAAAAATCTCGCAGCATTATAGGAGACATTGTTGAACAACTAAAAGCAAATAATGTTATTGTAACTCCGGAATTTTTCGGAAGAGCTTCCGAAAATTTTCCATCGGAAACATTTGAAAGAGAATTTGATGTCATGCTTGTTTATAACGTGAAGGGAACTATTGAGGTTACAAAACTACTGCATTATACAACAAATTCATAATTTATATTATATTATACTATTAGGCTATAAAAATATTCTTATTTCATTGATATTCTTTAACATGAGTTTTTCAAATTACTAAATACAATTAGAAAATACCATCTCCTATTGCCGACCGCTGTTTTATGATGGTAAAATCTGGAGAAAGCATACCAATACCATCAGTAACTGTCGAGGATGATCATAATCGTTACTTAAAACCATCCTCTATGTTGGAGTACTTTAAAGAAAACATTGATATAAGTTGCAGAAAATATGAACGAGAGCATTGGAATACAAATACAGAACTTCGTGGCCAAAGCATTCTAATGAAAGTCTCAATACCGGTTATTTTTTTTAGTCTTTGAAATTTATTTCTGTCATATGCTGAAACGTGTGACAAACAGCATAAATAATTAATAAGTGAAAAAAAAGAGAAATTCAGTATTAGTAAATTTATTTAAATAAAATGATAAAAAACAAAATTAGAATCAAATTTTTGGTGCTGATGAGACGTCATTCAAAAAAATAAAAAGAAGGGAAAATAAACGAAGAAATAAAATTTGAAGAAATAATGAAATTAGGTTAATGACGTGCAAACTGTCTG